ACTGCCATGGTACCGGTCACTACAAATATTTCCATTAGATTAGTCACCCCCATGACATCTTCCAAGGCTTGCACCGTCATTTGGATCGTGACATAGTACTTAATGACTGTGGAATAACCCAGCCTGGATTCTCTGCCTATTCATTTTCCTAATATCCCCCACAATCGTGTTTGCAGCATTGGTAACGATGTACACCGCGCTTGACATGAAGGCCATCACGCGCTCAGCTTCGTAAAGGGCGGCAGTCATGGCACAAAATCTGCCTACCAGGAGGCCCACCTTGAGCAGGAGGGCGTAACGTAATGGCATCCGTCGAGCAAGAAAGGATATCAAGCGGTACTTGGTCAAGACATGTTCGACGATGTAGAATTGCGGATCTAGTCCGCGAATCATGAAGCTAATAGTGAGTAGTGGAGTAAAGAGGTATCCGATCCAGACAAGGAGTTTGATCCCAAATAAGACAAGGTTGTCAAGTAAGGTTTCACTCTGGGCTTTTGACTGCGTGGATAATATGATGACTGGAAATATAAATATGAAGGTACACTACCACATGTTAATACTAAATTTTAGTAATTGTACGCGAGGCTTCAAAAATTTGGCTTCAAGGCTTCTTGTTGCATCGCTATCAAAATCGTCACGATTGATATTGCGATGCAACATCACCTGTTATTAAGTATATTCAGCCACTTTATGCGAAGACTTTGTCCGTCTGTCGTAAGTATGATTACGGGAGAATGGATCGAGCTAAGTAATCGAGCTAAGAAATTGGTTCGATGCATCATTAGGACCCCCGGGGGAGGATCCTATCCCCAATATTTGGCGTCAACCGGACCACCCCCTTGGCACCACGGGGTGTGGTCGGGGCAAGGTGAGATTTTTACATAAATAAAATCACCAAATAGTGGACGAGGTTAGGTGAAATGAGATCGAATAAAAATCGATGGATGGGGTGAAATGTCATAAAGAAAAATAGATTTTGGTATATTAGATAATTCTGAATATTAAATTTGACCAAGTATTTCTCGATTCAGGAAAAACAAGTAATATTTATTTAAAAATGTGATTCTGAAGGTAGACAAATTTTGCAAATAATTTATTAAAATATTTATTCCGTGTCTTATCAATGTTGGAGCAAAAATTAAATTTATGAGTAGGCTGACTATTTTAAGGTTAGGTTTTCAACTGGTCGCGTCTTTGACGTCTAAAACGTTATGAATAATTTAAAATTTAAAACTCGATTAATAATCCAATTACCAAACTGATCGTCGAATAAAAACTATTTACCTAAGTTGTATTAATTTTCTCGAACTCAGGAATTTAATTAATTAGTAAATTTCGATAAAATTTAGTTTGAGTTAAGCATTTGAAAGCAATAAGCAAGCTACGTATGTAAATTGTGAAAAATATTAGATAAAGGTACATACGTTAGTGTAGTTTGAACTTGGACTAGCCAGCTATTGAGTTACGATGGATTGGAAAGATATTAGATGTACTATATAATAAGCATTGATTTACGTTTGGGTTTAAATAAATTATTGGCATTTGACTTATTCTGCATGAAGGATTATGTATTTAAAAAATGAGTTTAGAATTCTCAAACCTACTTATGTAACTCTTGGTAACTACAGTTAGAGGTTTAACTTTGCCCTCTCGACTTTGAAATTTATTTATACTTTAATCATGTATTCTTCACAATCCGACTTACATACTTAACCAGCTTACGAAATTTATGGTATACAAATACATAGGTATGTATGTATGAAAATTTGTTGTGAACTACTAAACATAATTCATTAAGGTATATATAGCTGTAAGTACATATAATTAGCTACAGGTAGGTGGGTAAAAATTAGCTTACATTTGGAGTAGATACCTACATAGTTAAGTCAGTACTTAATTATGCAGATTAGTCTTAAATACCATTATGGTTGAAAAAACCTCCGCCAAATCAATCTGAAACATGTAACCACCCAACCGATAATCTCCAGCGGGAAACCTGCAACTATTTAGATACCTTAAGACTGTAGCTGATATTTATTTACACATTAATACACATTTTGTTACCTTGGGTTTCCTTAAAGTGGATTTGTTATAAGTAATTTTAGCTATGAATTGGAAGAAATATCTATATCAGGGAATCTAAAAGGAACGTACAGCCACGAACGGGTCAAATACGGTCCTAGAGGTGCACCGGGTTAGGAGAATGGGGTTCGATATCACGTGGGTCCTAGAGGTGCACTAGTTTGGGAGGATGTACGCTGACAACTTTAAATCAATTCCTACGATCAACACGGTCCCGACCAGTAGTAAAACCGAACCCACATAAAATCTGTTACGGTCGCGGACCTAATCAAGTTTTCCTCAATTATGTCGTGGTCACGTCGTGTACCGTATTTTACATGTTTTGTGACTTCGAGTGATTTTAAAACGTGGAAAGGAAAATGTAGAAAAACTAGTCATCAATTTCACACAGGAAAATATATTTATTATAGTAATTTTAAGAAATTTTAAATGACAAATTAAATACTACTTTTTACTGCCTTTCACACTACTTCTTTCCTCGAGTCTCTCTTACATACTACTTGCTTCTGGAATTTTCTGGCAAAAAGCTGATGCAATTTCCAGAAGCGGATCATTTAAAATTTACGGGGAAAGGTGATACATATTTTACATTTTCATACAATTATCAGATTCATACATACATACATATATCAATTCATTTATCAATTTATAACACACATACAATAATTATACTTCATTTCTCGACAAAATCTTATGGCTGTAATACAACATTTTTGAATTACAGTAATTTTTCTGAAATTAGTAGATGAATTTGTTGACAATCCAATTATACAATAATTGATGCATATATAAGTTTTAATTACGAATGCATACACTAATTGATTAACCTGACACAATTTAAAAAAATCTAAGAAAAAAATCTACCCTGTAAAAAACCTGCTATACAAACCTTATATACATAATTAAAACTATAGCAACGTCTCCACACAGAGATCGATGAATAAACTGGACAATTTGACATTAATATCCTTATTCACCGTCATAACCACCATACCGCCCAAACCTACCGGGATTTTAAGGACGGGCAGCCTCCTAACATTTCTCATGTAAACCATCCTCACGATTCGTTGCATTCCCTGCAAAATTCCCACTTCTTGGAACGATCTTGACAAATTCGCGTTTCTGAATCCACCTCCCCATCTTGGTCAAGATGGTTTTCACCAACGCGCACCCGAAAATTCCAACGGATATTAAAGATACTAGCAAATACCCGGGCATCATGTGTCCCAATCGCACGGAAAGAAATGTTATGGTTACCAGGGTACAGGGCCCGTGAGAGGGGCGGTTGCCCGGGGCGCTGGGGCGCCAAGGGGCGCCGGGGCGCGCCAACGATACTATGATATGTTAAGTAATTTATTGGCATAATTGTAGTAAATAAAGTGAAATGCAACTGATTAAAGTAAAGTTGATCTTTTGAATATTCCACAGCAATGAGTGTTATTTTTCAGTTATCTTTGAGTAGGGTCTGCCACTTTTCTGGTTTTTATGAGCTTAAGTTTTTGTGGTTTTTGTTGTAATCGAAGCTCTGAAACCCCCAATGCTATCATAGTTTCCGTGGGATTTTTGTAAGCTTTGAAAATTGTTAGATTGGCCTCTATGTAACCTAACCTAACCACTAAAATATCTAAGCCATTGTAATCTTGCGAATAAAAAGGCGACATTGTTCTAAGTACATACACTGTCGCTAATAATTTAGTCGTTGAAGTCATTTCCATAAAAACTAGTTAGAACACTATCAAATTAATTACCCACCCTGCAAGTAAATCCAATTTGGGCAAGCAAGTACATACTTAATTGTCACGGTTGAGAATCGAGGGAAAGTTTTATTTGAGAAAATTATAATATCTGCTCTGATTTTGTGATGGTATGTGTTTTACGGAGAGAGCAAGAGGGAAGAAAGTTGTATTTTTAGCAATCATGGTTTGTGTACCTACATTCTGTTAAAAATATATTTATGAATTCATGTATGTATTCATCTCCTTTTATGTACATGTGGCTTTATTTGGTAATGAGACCGGGATCCAGTGAGACATACGATTATTTTGAGTATCTAGGTAATTGTATAGGTAAATATGTATTTAAACAAGATGCGTATGTGTGAACGGGGGGATTCTTCTGCAAGCCTTATCTTAAGAAAGAGGGGATTAAAGTTGGTAGAAACATCATTTTTGAGGAAGGGAAGTAGAGAGAGCGAGAGAGAGATCTCCCGTGGAGAACTTGAGACATTTTGGGTAAATTGTAACTTTTTCAGTGTGACTTGAGTTTTATTACTAAATAAATATCGTCTAAGTGTGAACTGATCTGCTTGAGACTTTCAGTTCTTTTTCTAATAATTTCCGTCCCTCGTGGACTTGTCCATTTTTACAATTTTCATTCTCATCTTTTCAACATCTTAGCATAGTCACCACGTCTTACTTTTGTGAGCGTGACATAATTAAGGAAGATGTTGTCTTCCTTAATTGTTTGTATTAGTTGAATACCCTTATCATAAAATTTTTTCAAAACCCGGAGGCACCACTAGCTGTGAAGTACAATTCGTAGTGAGAAATTAACATAAAACTTGTGAATAACAAGGACACAAAGATTGACAGTGTGCAATATACTTGCGAGATTTACGAATATCAATGTGAGTACTGTCAATCCATAGATAAGGTGAAAGTAAATAAACACGTGGAAGTATACATACATAAAAATGATGTCTGATAGTATCAGATATCATTTATATGTATCACACTGATATCAATAGGCATATATAATAGAGTTAACTGGGCTATAGCCCGTGTGCAACATAGGTTCCAGTATACGTTGAATATCCACACAATTTCACATTCTAGATAAGATTACTCCATTCTCTGTCTGTCTATGGGGAACGCACCCCTTCAATGTATTACAAACGGTAGCATTGATGTATAGGTGGATGGAGGTGGTCGTGAAGGCCTTATTTAAATTTTAAGTAAGGTTAGTTTAGGTTTCCTGTGTTTCTGTGGAATCTCTAGTGTTTCGGATGTTTTCGTGGGTTTGATGGTGTTTGTGTGGGCTCTTTGGTGTTTTCTTGGGGTTTCCGGTGTTTATTTGGTGTCAGTAGTGTTTTTACAAAACATCGAAACACCAAAACAGCAAAACATCAGCAACACCAGAGAGTCCTCAGAAACATCAGCAACCTAACCTTACCCTACATACCTAAAATTTCTATAAGCCCTCCCGACCGCCTCCATCCACTTCTCCATCCACCTATCCGTCAATGCTACCGTTTGTAATACACTGAAGGGATGCGCTGCGCACAGTCAGACCGACAGACAGACAAACGGACAGACACAGAGAATGGACTAATCTTATATGGAATGAAACACATTCCATAATATATTTAATACCCTTCCAGCATTCCAACATTTATTGGACAGATACAGATTATAGGATTTAAATTAAATACCAACATTTCTTGTCAATTACATCCCTTCTGGGTATTGGCATACTGATATAATGGGGCCGCATCAGCCCTGCCCTGCTCCCATTATCCCGCAAAATCCAACCCATATGCCTGCCTTTCGACATGGTTAATGTGCCAGTGGATGGTCTCACGGTAACTGCTTCAGGATGGGGAAGTTAGTATTAATGTAGATTATTGAATATTAAATACTGGGGTAGCAAATTAATAATACGATGACGTGTTGTGACATTTCAGCGGAGATCTCTGGTGGAAGTCAGTCAGCCGTGTTGAAGAAGGTGGACCTCCCAGTTATAGGGTCATCGAAGTGTCGAGAGTACTATGGTAGATACATCACGGACAACATGATCTGTACATGTGAGCATTAAATAATCAATTTTGTAACTCCTTTATACGTAAATGGATGATCAATGAACACGGTACATAAAATATGTATGAACCAAATTGGTTCATATTTTATGTATTGGAAGCACTGATGGTAAATATTGTCTTCGTTTCATAAGTTATGAATCATAACAGACTCACCTGGATCGGACACCTGCCAAGGGGACTCAGGTGGCAGCATTGACTACAAGAATAAAAATAATGGGCGCTACTATCACTTGGGCATTGTGAGCTGGGGTTTCGGCTGTGCTGAGATAAACCGACCCGGTGTACACGTTAAAATGACAAATTACTTGAACTGGATTACCGCTCAGACTGGTAACAAAATATTTATCTATTTGACTTTGTGCGAGTCATCTTTTACGTGAAAACATGTGTGGATATCTAATCTTCATTTCTCACGCTATTTACACGTATTCAGCTGGGACAACGTTCTGCAGGCCGTAAGCAATTCACCACAACATCCATTCTTTTCAAAATACAAAAAAGTAGCTCTTACATATACATGTCACCCCGTCTAATTTTTTCTGCTATCCTCTCCAAAACGAAGTGATGACGATGAAGGTTTTGTAAGCATATATGAATTGCTATGACAATTAACCAGATGTAATATAAATGATTTTTTGTAGCTGCTGTATACTTTATTTACTATGATAAATAAATAATAAACTCTTTATATTTACGTGCACATTAATATTGTATAAAACTTGGCCAAATAACACAAGGTGTATAGCACAACTACATATGTACATAATATGTACATATGTAGTTGTGCTATATGAATTATATGAATATGATATGAATTAATATGAATTACATATTATGTAATTCATTTAAATTCAATAATTGGATGGTTATACATAGATGTATATCCTGGAACCCGCATAACATCCAAAAGGCGACGACGATTAAAATAATTTATTCCTTTGAATGTCGTACTATGTATACATAGTGGAACAGTTCTGATAATTTTTAATTTTGCAGGAATTCTTTCCCTACATCCCAGGCCATTCGCGAAGCTCGGACTGCTGAATATGTTGCAGTACCCAAAAGAAAATCGTGCATCCACTCTGTGAGTGGGGGCATGAAAGGAAATGTGAGGGGGGCATCCAGACATGACTTACTTTTTATATATTTCTTCAGAATTGGATTAACAAATTTATATTACGTCAAATAAATTTTCATAAAAGCATACATAATAAAGTAAAATTGAAAAAATGATATTCCACTGCGATGACGGGTTGGAACGATTTGTTTGAGAGATAATTTTGAAAACCTATTAAGAGAAGGTATAACCAGTTAAGAATTGTCAAAGGCTGAGGGTGACATTTAAGGAAATTGTAGCAGCGTCGGGGTGGTGCATAAACCATTTTTTTAAAACTCAGCCGGGGGAGAAATTATGCACAAAGAAAAAACACTTGACTTTCTAACGTAAATATGTATGTACCTCTATTATGTGATAAATAACTAAGGCCCTTCATGTTCTTTACAAGTATGGAATGATTTATTTTGCGTAGATAAGCCTCACTTACTTGTTATCATACATTTCATGCAGATGAACATAACGGTTTCATCATTTGGAACAAAGACTAACTAAACTACGTTATGCAAACATTTATTTACTTTTTCATGGCATTTGTGCTCATATAGGCAAAGAAAACGCGAACAATTTCAGTTATTGAGACAGCCGCCACAGAGGTAAGCATGGTCCAGTTTTCCTTGTCAAAACAAGGAGTATCCTCCTTATCTTCACCAGGCTCGGAAGCACTGGCAAATATCCCAACAAATTTTTTCATTACGTCACTCTCTGCCAAACCTTTCAGATATGTGCCAGCCGTCTCCAAAAAATTTTGGCCTGGGGAAGACTCCAAAAATTTTATGAGATGGGGCCACGCTGTAATAATTTGTATAAAAAGCAAGTAACGACTTGATAAATAACAATTGGTGAAAATAATTGTCTGCTTGCCCAATGTAACCCCTTCCCAAGCCATCCATCCCAGAAGACCAACCAGGCCGAGAAGCGCAATTATGATAAGCGCTCTTTCCAGCGGTGATAACTCTGAGATTGACAGATAATTCTCCTAACTTAAATAAAACCCACTTGATATTTCTTACTGTTAAAAAATTTACCCATGAATTTCTTGTACATCGCTGGGATGTCCACGGCACCCATGTAACCACAAATCTGGTCACTCAACCAACTCCCTAAAGTCGAATATTGAGCCATGCATTGTTCCAGACCGGCCATAAAGGTGGAATACGCTTTTGATTGGTCTGTTCTTGCCGTGGTTGTGACAGAAGTGGATGACGAGGCCATGGAACTCCTCGCAGCTGCCATTACCCCCACAGATGCGGCCCCCTGGGAGGACTGCGCTGTTTCCACGGCAGCAGCGGCATCTTGCTCGGATGTGGATTTCACTAACAACATTATGACACCATAAAAATTATTTTCTAAAAAAATCGCTTGGAAAATAACCTGCCGTTGCCTGTTTCGGTTTATCCTTATCTGCCATGATAAGCAACTTTGGGGGTGGAGGTAAAGAGGGCCTCCTCGGTGGTCGTGTTTATTTATGTCGACAAAGTTGAGTTGTTTATTGTCAATGTTTTATCACAACTAGGTTTCAAGCCCGGCAACCATGGATCCTGTAATAACTAAGAATCGATAAAACAAGTAAGTAATAATTACCATATTTAAAATTGGACTATGAGAATGCCAAAAATTAAGAGGAGCTTATGGTAGATGAAAACACATTAAGAGTTTTAATCTTCATTAAGTGTGAGTGCTAAAATTTTGACTGTGGTCTCAATTGTGGACCGATTTCAAAATTTTTAACTGTTTTGGAAACATTGGACTATTTGGAAAATTATACAGTCCCAAATTTTCAAAATGGGACCACGTCCCTTGGAAATTAAGGTCACAAAATACGTAAGATTAAAAAACCCCAATTTTTTTGCGTCAACCATTCATATGAGTACACTCAAAATAAAATCATTACAAAACTCGTTACCACGCGGAATGACTATATGTCTCTCCCGCATGGTAAGGAGCGATCAACGTATGGTAGTGAGGGCAGCGCGATACCGTTTGGTAAGGATACATTATTTTACCCCATTCGTAATAAAGCAAAGAACTCAGTAACATTCTCAGAAAAGTTGGTAATGACACTGGTAACGAGCGGGGTAACGTAAGATTACCTTATTTGCGCAAGAGTGATATTCTTTTGGTATGAAATATTACCTTGTGTGAAAGAAAATTAGACAAGCTGGTAATAATATTAATGTTGTTTTATTTTCACAGTAAATTGCACATATTTATTGTAAAATACAAAAGCTACGGACTATATTATATTATAATTTGAAAACAGCTTCACAAATAATGTCTTGTCACTAGAAATAAACCATTAGTGTTACAATTTCTCTGAATTTCCATACATTCATGAATTACTAAAGCCTCTATATTAACAAGATTAATTGTGTCTTTTAAAATTATCCTAAACGAAAAATAGTGTCGATCAAAGTACTCCACATCAAGTTCTTTTAAAATAAGAAGACATTTAGACTCACTAAGTACAAGGAATTCGGAAATAATACCAAATTTGGGAAACACTGGACCCATTCCGAAACAAACTACATAATTAATTTTATAATTGTAACTTCTGTACCAAATTTGATTGGTAGTGTAAACCAAAGTGTCTGGAGAATAAAATTCAAGCCCTCTAATTTTTCTGACACATTCAATTACATCAAATGAATTTAAAAAATTTGACAATTTCATCTCAACAATATTGTCCATTTCCAGTCCGTCGTGGATGTTTATGTTTTTAAAGGCATGGGAACTATACTGCTGATGTCTGTTAGCTAAAGTTAAACAAATATTTTGAAAATTATTTGTACGTTTTGCGAGTTGAGCAAAATAATTGTGTTTTGCTTCAAATCTCATTGTCCAGAGTGACACAAGCGGTCCACTCTGCCTAATTATAAACTCATAGTGACACATAAAATGATGCTTTGGTAATAATCGCTGATCTGGGAACAGGGAAAGAAATAATTTGTGGTGCTTAATTACGCTACATTTAAGAGCTTCAAGCGTGGACACTGAAAACTTTCGACAAAATATATAGCTCATACACTCCAGCAACTGTATAAGTAATTCCCAGTAACTAATTTGTTCTTCCGTCACAATTAGATCGGCAAAAATGACTGGCAAAAACCTAACCAAACACCATGCCTGTGCTGCTTTTTGCCCAATTCGATGACCTTTCCCATCTAATTTAATTGGACATGGCCTGTTCTTCGATTCCAATTTTACGAAGTCATGAGCTAACAGTCTTTGGTTGAATTGCTCTAGAGTACAACATCTTAAATTAATTAATTTTTTTATGATAATTTTCAATTCAAATGGAACAACACCTTCTAAAAGATCGTGCATAATGTCAACTGTTGGAGAGTCCAAGAAATGGTAAAATTTAAGCTGATTTAGTACACAAGGACCTGTCACACCATGAGATAAATTAATTAAATGATCATTATAATTTTCTCTATCTCTAATGACCATGAGGGAGTGATCAAAAATTAACTGAGCGTCAGACTTGGAAGTACAACATAATCGGCAATAGTAATTTGCATTAAAAGATTCGTGAAATCCAAGAAGTGAATTTGCACCGAGATTATCATGCGACACAGCGCACAGCGTCCCCATAAAACTTGTTCCCCTAATTACTATTCCTATATTTTCTAACAATTTAAGATCTGGGATTATATAATCCTTTATTGAATTATATCCATACTTTTTTGCATCCTCGCTGTAAAACAGAGCTAAAAGATAAATATTATTCAGCTGGGAATTAATATAATCTGGAACGTTTCGTAAAGTAAAATATAGAGCCCCTAATTTATGAATCCCTCTTTTCGGCCCGATTGGATTGGCAGTCTCAAAGTCATCATAAAATAATTGAATCTGGAAGGAGTTACGAAATTTTAGAAATAATTGGTTGTTTTTAAAACTATCGCAATCTCGAAAATGTTCTATTAAAACCTGGCCTGCGGGAGGAGGAGCCTTAAAGTACTTGAATAATTCTGGACAAGAAATTATTTTTTTCAAAGTTTTTAAAATTGGAACGTATAATAAATGTGTCCTGAACTACAACTTGTTGTCGTTTGTTTTCACGAATACGCATATCTATCCTATTTCCTAGACTAATTTCGACTGGTTCAATTATGTCATCGTTCTCCACGGTTAATTTGTGCCTTTGATATGAGGATTTAACACTGGAAAACGCAGTCAGCAGTCCCGAAATTTGCTCAGAGAATTTCTCAAAATCTTCGAAACAATACTTTTTAGCAATTTTTAAAACTAATTTGAAAAGTTCTGAAAAGCTAAAATTCATTTCTTTAACGACAAAGTCTACCGTTGAATTATTAACTCCACTTGCTAATAAGGAAGAACAAAAATTATGAAGTACATTACTAAAAAGTTTAATTCCTAAACTAACTGTAATTTCTTCTCCTAAATCTACCTCTTCGAAATTTTGTGGCTCAATTTCGCCCTCCTCATCTATACCAACTCTAAATTCGTTCAATGGCTCCTGAATCGGTATATTTCTTATAAAATTATTTACACTATTGTGACCGTCTTTTAGGTGACGGGAAAAACCGCTCCAAGTCGTTAATTCTACTGAACACGATATATATGGACAAATAATATTTCTAAATTTAAGGTGACAAATATGGTCATATTTCATATGATTCTTAATATCTAAAATTTTCGAACTTAAGTATTTCGAACACTCTGGGCATTTAAACATCTTGATCCAGCACACTTTCAAGTTGTGTAAATACTTGTTTCACTTTCCGAGGCAGTGCAGTAGTTTCCACGTCCAACTTGTATAGGAAAACTTGAATGAATTTCCAAACCCCAGAAAGATTCTTGTCGTATTCAGTCCCAAAAACGTAATGAGCTTTGAAAAGCGTGTCGATGGCTTGAGTAGTTGTTGACGCAGCTATGGGCAAGATTTGGCGGTCACAAATAATAAAAAAAGACGTCAGCTCCTTTGACGATTCCCCAAGGCAGACCAGGTTTGGCTGGGTTTTCTCAGATTTCCAAGTATCCAAGATTGATGGAAGAGGAGTTCCACTCTGTAATGATAACAGTTTTTTATCGTGTTAAAAATTTAATTTAACAATTTTGTTCACACCTTAAAATAAGAAATTATAATTTCCCGAGCATCATCTGTTTTTGAGCGGCTCCCCTTTCCTTTTCCTTGGACTGTGGGTGGAATTAAGTAAATGAGGCAAAAGAGAGCAAAAATGTTATGATCCCAATTATCTGCAATAATGTTGATCAATTTAATTGATTATTTAACTCAGAGTAAAATAACAGGATTCTCAGTACCTATTTGTTGAGACATAAATTTTGCGAGGCCAGGTGACTTGCATATTTTTGTCGCGTTTCCAATTATTTTTTGTGCAAATGAAGGCCAACTCGTGACGAAATTGCTGGATAAATCGTCGTGCATCAAAGAAAACTCATAGTTGATCTGTTGAATTAATAAGAATATGGTTAAATTATTTGTTATTCTAAAGTATGGAGATAAACTAAATCATTGCACAACACCTTCATTGAATTATAATCAATTTATAAATATAAATTTCATCCCTAATATTTATACTTACCAGAAAATCACAATACAAAAATTTCTGGTACAGTTTAAGAATTAGCGTCGCATCACCGTGATTCTTTCGAAGAGATGTGCGATGTGCAAACGTCTCCAGAAATAATTGTTTGATTTCCTGTGGCGAGTTTTTGGGACAAAGGCTGTTGATTTTGTTAATAGTTTCCGTTGGAGCGATTTCAACCAGCGCAACAACGGATCCAGCTGTTTGAGTTTTTTTCGCGGATGGTCCACCAGTAAATGTTGACACTCTCTTTGATACACTTTTCGCCTTGCCCTTGTTCTGAAGTGTGTGAAGGAATCTCAGTCGAGTTTGAATTAATCCCGACCTTGTAACCTCGTCATAAAGGAGATCCTATAAATTGATTTATGATATTAAAAAATGTCAACAATTTAAGAAGTGGTATAACAATTGTTGGAAAAATGTTTACCGTTCCATTTATGCTCCCAGGGCCAGTGTATCGCCAAGACGGTACGACAATAATTACTGCCTTCGCAAACAGCAGTTGATCTTTAGTGCTGGGGGACTCGCTTTAAAAAAGTTTAAATATTGAGCTGTAATAGAAATAATTGAGTATAAGTATGTAATATAAGAAACCTACCCCTTTAGTTGTGCAAATACTCCGACAAATTCTTTAATTACGATAGAAGACGTTTCAGAATCCACACACCCCTTCAGTTTCGTCTGCTCGACCAATTGATTTAGATGATCATTTCTTTCCAAATGGGTCAATAAAATCTGAAATAAATGCTAACGGTTGATATCACCCTTGTTATCATTTAACATAGATTTAAATGTTGACATACACTTACCTGGATATAATTATCAATTTCACCGTCCT